CGGTCCCTCTCCCTCCGCCTCCCGAAGACCCCAAGCTCCGGGAGCGGCTCCGGAACGGTGTCGAGGGAGCCCTGGCCGATGCTCCCGTGGAGGAGGCCCTGGCGGCCGCGGAGCGGGCCATCCGCGCCGCCGGCGCCGCAGCGCCCTCCGAGGACTTCTCCTCGCGGACGGCGCCGGTTCTTTCCCAGTGGGGCCCACTGCTTGGGAGCGTGGTGGAGGGGCAGACGGAGTTCACCTTGTCAACAGAGGACATCTCAGCTCGAGTCTTGTCGGAGTTTCCGTCCACTCGCACCCTGGTGGTTCAATTTGCCAACGACTTCACGGACGAAAGCGATCGCCTGATGGACTTGATCCACCAAGGCGGCGGCGAAGTCGAGAAGCTGCGCTTCCCCGGTGGCCACACCACTCCGCTGGATGCGCCTCTGGGAAGCTCCCGGATACAGCGGCTCTCTAAGTCCATTGCAGCTTTTATCCTGCAGCGTCCACTGCCAGGCCAAGACACTGCGCAGGAGGAGCTGTCCCGACTGAAGCTTTGCTGCTGTTTAGCAGGCTTTGATTCTCTTTCTGTATTGTTCTCGACACCCAAGACAGCCTTCCGCAGTACTCGTATGTCCTAAGGTCCTAAAGTGAGAAAAGCCTCAGCGACCCTGAGTCATAGAATCCTCGGTGTAGGGAGCCCAAAGATGATTTATTCATGTTCTGTAAACCCTACAGTACGCAGCAACGTGATAGAAAGTTCTGAATCCCTACGCGGCCTTATGAGACCTCCTAATTGAATAGATCGAGCCTCGACACCACCCCTTGTAATTCCCGAAATGAGCGTGTAAGACCATTATAAACCTTTGCGTTCGCTCACATGACATATCACCAAGCTCTAGGAAACAATCAAGTCGTAGCTCCTAACGCTCAACTCTGAATCCTAAATCACTAAACCCTAAACCACTAAACCCTAAAAAACAAAATATAAAAAATACATCCTAAACCTCAGACGCCAGGAAGGATCGCTTCCTTCGGCTCACTGCCGGCTGCAACCGGGGCTTCTCGGCGCTGCAGCCCGGGCAAAGGGGGGAGATCATGACCTGCTTCTGGGCTGATTGTTATGTACCTTACTTAGAGGATCATGGGACTTAGTAAGTAGGTGATAATTGGGGTTATAAGACCCCTGAGTGGGGTTATCCTAATAATAACCTACTTATAACCTTACACGTACTCACTAAGTCCCATGAGCCTTCAAGTACTTTGACATATGCGAGTTTCCGAAAATTAGGGGTACCGTATTTAGGGCTCATTATTTTAGGGATCCTACTATTGAGGGTACTCTATTAGGGTTAAGCAATAGGGTTTCCTTGTTCCGGCCATGGTAAGGGAGCCCTAGTCTTTTAACGTCAAGGTTTTCTTAAGAAGAGCCCAGGCATCGAAGAGCTGGAGGCCTTGAAGCCGAGCTTCCGGAAGCCGGGCTCTTCTTACGAGAGGGGGTTGAAGTGGGGCCAGTAGGGCTTCAATTGGGGCTTACAAGGAATTCTCTAAGAGTCGAAAGGATTCCTGATCAGGAGCTTGTTTGAAGCAGCCAAGCTTTTTTTTTGCTCGGCTCCAAAATGAAGCCGAGGAACAGGAGCTCAGGCTCGGGGGAGCCTTCAGATGAAGAAGAGCTCGTCTCGGCACTTTCTGGGAAGTGGCGCCTGATTTGGGCGACCTCGCCGGACGTCCTTCTCCTCACCTCGCTGCCTCTGGCCGACTGCGGAGAGATCCGGCAGGATATCGAGAGGGCAGGCCGAGAATATCCCGGGGCTACTTTGAGTATCACAAACTCTGTGGAGCTGTCTCCCAAGGGCATCGGGGTGCTTGGAGTGGTTCTTCCAGATCTGGCGAGGGCAGTCACCGTTCTCTCTAAGGTGCAGGCCACGGGCAAGCTGCTTCCGGACGACAGCGTTGCTTTGAATTCCTCTTGGCACCACCTTTTCTAAGACTGATACCCCTATATATACAACCCCCCCTTTGTAAGCTCCCAGAAGCGAGAAAAGCCTCAACAGCGGATCTCATGCGAAGCCTAGGTTTCGATCAGCTTTCAGAGCGCCTGCCTTGAACCAGCAGTACAGTCGGAGGGGATGCCCTCCTTGCCACTGCCACTGCCATCGGTTGCCCTGACCTCCGGGGAAGGAGCGAGTATCCGTCTGCTGACGACTTTTGTGGACAATGAGCTCCGCATTGCACGATCACCACTTGGTGATGTCTTCATATTTTCCAGGACCTTGTAGCCTGCTAGAGCATCAAAGCCCATGCGACGCAAAGTGTCCGAAGATAGCAAGCCCTGAGTGTCGGTCGTCTGCCTTGGCTACGATTTTCGCAGACGGAATGCAGCAGGCCACTAGGAGCTTCGTATTGGTGTCTGCATGCAGGCGAGTCGGATCCATCACCGGACAAGTGGCTGCTGAGAGCGCTTGCTGCCGAACGGGGCTTGGAGACTTGTTCGCTTCTCGGCCGCGCCAGCAACACTATCTTA